TCTTAGCTATCATCCAACAAATACTGCTTTCTTCTGAATTCAATTCCCTATCCCCTCAGTTACAAAATTTCCTTCTTCTTAGTTTATTTTGATCATACTTTTACTATGAATTACAGCTTTTAACATTAGAATATATACATACTCGTTATTTGTACTCTTTCACCTGATTCAACCAGGTTCGCACAGATGATGTAGGATAATATCCCTTACTCAGTCTGCTGATACATTCTTTAAAGTATCTAAGAAATATCTTCAAGGCAACACTAGAATTAAGGTCGACCTCAACCACTGAGGACTGTAGCCTTGCCACATGAAACCACCCGCTACACTGTTCACTTATGTTTTATTTATCACCTGCCTTCTCTTGTTATTTGTACTCTCTTCCATACTTGTTATCTTGTCTTTTCAATAATAGCCAGACAGTAGATAAGTGGTTTTGATTTTACATTTCCATAATGATTAGTAATACTGAGCATCTTTTCATTTACTTATCAATTATTTAGATTCTTTCAAGAAATGTTTATTAGGTCTTTTACCCACCATGTAAAGTCAGGTTATTAATTTTTACTACTGACTTCTGTGAGCACCTTATATAACACACTTAATTATATATAATTTGCAAGTATTTTCTTCTGATCTGAAAGCTGCTTTGTAATTTTGTTGACATTTTACTTTGCTGTGAAAACAACCTTTTAGTTTGATGAGTCCTACTTGCTGATTTTTACATTTGTTGCCTGAACTTTGGGAATGACATCCAAAAAAATCACTCTCAAGCTCAGTGTCAAATAGTTTTTTTTCCTGTTTTCACAAGATATGAAAAAAAAAGGTGAAAAACTATGTAAGAGTGAGGGTAGTAAGCAAATGAACAGATAATCAGAGTGTTTTTGAAGACTCATCAAAGGAATAATTTTACATAGTAGCCAAAATGGACATATTCAACTTTGGCTAAAAGTAAATGCTTCAAAAGAGTTCATGAGAAATGTGATTCTAGGTCTGTAGTCTTATTTAAAGAATATTAAAATCAATAACATTATGGCAGTGCATAAATTTTTAAAAATCATCTATTCCCTTGTAAATGAGGAGAGGGAAATGGAATAGAAAAAGTAAGTCTCAGGGGACAATATTGTCAACAGAGCTAGATTATAAGATGGCTGTCAAAGCTCCAGAATATGAGGGTGCAGCACAGATCCTTCAGCTATATGGAACCAAAGCTATGCAAAATACAAAAAAGAAAGGAGAGAGCTGACGATCTGATTAATCTACTTTGTTTGTTTTAGTCACAGCATAATATAAAAAGTACCGGCTTTAAATGATTTGTTTTTGAGTTTGTGGATGCAAAGTTTGATATTTAAATTTGTTGAATTAATATTACTTTTATGGGGTAGCAAATAATTTTTCAAGTTATTTTCTCTAAATATACCAGATTCATTCATCAAGTTAAAACTCCATCAGGTTGTACTCTTTGCTTTTGTTGCCTGTATTATCTCTCTGAGATAGATAATATTCTTTAGATGAACTGAAGAAATTTCATTATGGATTCTTTAATCAACAGCAGCCAACTATCTGCTTTATATGACTACTCACAGGGCAAGCTATTCTTGATTTTCCATCTCTAAAACCCCTAATGTAAGAGATTCCTAATTACTTGACCAAAAAAGTAAACATTAATGCTCGCTCAAACATGCAGATACACAGAAGTGATTACTAAGTGTGTTTGGTTTTCCAGACACCAAATGCTAAGTCTATTAGCATTTCCCAGTATTCTTCTGAATTTTAAATACATGCATGTAAACAGGAAAGATAAATGTAGAGAGGTATTCATCGCTTTAACCTGTTAAAAACACAATCATGGTAAACTAATAAGCAACACAGTCTTATACAATTTATGAGCACAACTCAAATTTGTAACGTTTATACTACATAAAATTTACTTTTGTTTACAATTATCTAATAAGACAATTTGTATATAACTGTTATTGGTCATATTTTTACCTGACTTGAAGAAATATACAAATTTCTTTAATTCTAAATAAATGGTTTACCTTAATACTTTATTATATATCTCCTTTTTTTCCTAAAACACAGTATCTGCACACACAGGCTTAAAAAGAACTACAAAGTTTATTTTAAGAATGTACTTAAACTCTGATGTAGACAAATGAATATTACTGTGTATTTTAAGTGGCAAGAAACATGAAAATACCATTGAATGGAAAAGGTGTAAATCATTTATTTCTGGTACTCCTCCCTACTTGGAAATATATATCTGTGCAGGACTTTTTTCACTTGTACATCACTTATATAACTAGCTTTAAGTTATATAACTTATATACCGCTTATATAACTATATTTCATTTATATAACTTATATTTCACTTATATAACTATATATCATCTCGGCATGTTTCATGTCTAAGTAAAATTTTAATATTGACAGATTTTTGAGGATAATATAAATATTAAAGAATACAAATTAAGGCATAAGAAAGTGTTACAAAACATATTTAGAGAAGGGGTTGCATAGAGCTTTAGACTTCAACTTTCATCATACTATCCCCCGCGATGGACTGTGTAGAAATATAAAAGGATTAAGTCTAAATATAAGGTGTCATCTTGTCTTTCCTCCCAAAAGGTTTGGTAATTATTTTTTGCAAGACGGATCACTTAACTGAAAACAGTGATTCACGAGTTATTTTAGCTTCAGGGAGTGTAGTTTTTCTTTAAAATACACATCTATGGTTGGTTTGGGGGTCAATTTGAAGGCAATTTAATTTCTCCTTTCCAAGTTTTACTGTGTTCTGGCTATTGTGAAACTTTGGGTTTACTGAGGAAGTGAAGAAGAGCCGGAGAACTGAAGAAAACTTGTGACAGTTTTCTCTCTCAAGTGTGCTTCACAGTCCAGGAGCATCTGCATCATTGGAGAACATTCACTGTGTCAAGATTCCTGGGGAGTTCTGTTACAATTTAGATTGGGAATGTCTGCCCAAAGCCTCATGCTCAGAGCTGTGGCTTCCTTGGAAAGGAAAGCTGCGGGGTGTGGTGTTAAAGGGTTTATTCTCAGCTTTGGTTCCTCTTTTCTCTCCCTGCTTCCTGGCTGCCATGGGTTGAACAGCCTTCTTCTCCCAGGTCCTTCCTCCATGCCTTTTCTGTCTTAGAACCAGCCAGCCACGGACTGATGCCATGACCTTAGTTGTGAATATGGAGCACTTTGTCTCTGGAATAGGAAGGTGGCTAATACAGATTCTGGTACCAGAGAAAAGGAATCAGTACTGTGACTGTACCTGACCATGTAGTTTAGAAGTCTTTGGAACTGGTTTTCAAGAGGAGTTTGGAAAGGTTTGGGCGTGTTGGCTAAACAAGCCCTACAATACTGTAAGCTTAGCTTGATGGAAATTCTGGTTGAAGCTCAGAAGACCAGAATGCTGAAAGGAATCCAGAAATAAAAGGTCAGGCTCAGGACTGGGGATATAGCTCAGTGGCACAAACATGAGAGCATGAGTTTAATTCCCAGAACACACACACACACACACACACACACACACACACACACACACACACACATGCGCGCGCGCGCGCGCGCACACACAAAAGCCAGGCTCAAGTGGGAGACACGGACTCGGTTGACATTTGGCATAGAAGCCATGTGTACTACACTGTCATGTCATTAGTACCTTTGTTGAAAATCAGTTTGTTGAAGATGTGTGAATTTACTTCTGATTCCATACAAATTTTAGGGTTATTTTATACCATTCTGTGAATAATGTCATTTATTTTATTTTATTTTTTAGGTATTGCATTGAATCTGTAGATAGATTTGAGTAGTATGGGAATTTTAACAATTGAGTACTACAATCCATGAATGGAAAATGTCTTTACAATTTCTTTCATTAAAATTTTATAGTTTTCATTGTAGAGATCTTTCACATGTTTGAGTAGATTTATTTTCAGGTGTTTTTGTTCATTTTGGTGTTGCAAGTAGGATTTCCTCTTGATTTCTGTTTCAGATAATTTGCTCTTAGAGTACAGAAACTGTACAGATTATTACGTGTTCATTATATCTTACAACTTTACCAAATTCACTTATTGGGTCAAAGAGTATTTTGATGGCATGAGGGGAGAGTATTCTACATGCAAGATCAAATCATCTGCGAATAGTGAGAGTTGAACTTCCTTCTCCAGCCTGTGTGCTCCTGATTGTGCTGGCTCAGACTTCCAGTAGTACGTTGACAAAAAGTGGTGCAAAATGGCTACTCTTGTTTCATTCCAGATGTTAGGAAGTTTTCAGCTTTTCTCCATCTATACATTATACATATATATATATATATATATATATATATATATATATATAACATTATATAATGTTAGAAGGCTTATACTATATGGAATGAGCTACAATGAAGCATGTTCCTTCTATACCTAATCTTTCTTTTTAGCATTTTAAAAATCATGAATGGATGTCAAATTTTAACAATTAATTTTATTAAGTATGAATACAGCCAGCATAGTTGTCCCTGTCTGCAATCCCAGCACTTGGTAGGCCGAGACAAAAGGATCGCCGTGAGTTCTAGGCCTGCTGGGCTACATAGTGAGTTCAAGTTCAGCCTGAACTGCAAAATGTGTGCATGCATGCATGCGTGCGTGTGTGCATGCGTGTGTGTGTGTGTGTGTGTGTGTGTGTGTGTGTGTGTGTGAATGTGGGGTGTTGAATATATAAAGTACATTAATTTACAGTAGATAATTGTCCTACTTTTCACGCATGCTTCTGTGCATCAAGATTACTTGAGGACTCGATACAGGGAACATTGTCTTGCTTTGGGGCTGTTCCTCTTATTTTTTAACAGCAGTGATTATGTTTGAAGTCTGTCTCATATTGTTGAACTTCTGTTGATATTTAATAAAACTCAAAGAACAGCTTGTAAAAGACAGCACCATCCCTGCTGAGAAACAAGGGAATGAGAAACAAGTGAATCCTCTGCTAAGCAATTTTAAATGTTTCTGCTGTAAACTTAATAGAGTAATTTTAACTTCTTGGCACTCAGCAAGGTCAACACTGGTATACTTTGTACTTACGTATTATACTGGAAAATTGGATCCAGAGGTAAATTGGAGTTTCCTTTTCTCAAAGTTGTCTAGCCAAGATACACAACTCCTGAACAAGAGTACTTTGGTGAGAATATTGTTGAATCTTGTACTTTGACAATGAGTTGTTTTTCCAAGCCCTGAAATACCAAAAGTTTACCTCTTTTAGGTTTCATCTATATTTATTATTATTTTTATTTTAGATTATTTTCATGTAATTGGAATTGTACACTAGACTAGTTCATTTTGCCTTAGAATATTAAGAAATCTAGGAAGCACTATTTAAAGACATTAAATAATAGCCATTAAAGCTATTAAAGTGTGTCTTATGAGTAAATTTTTTGAAAATTACATTTGTGAGGAAATAGTAGTGCATTTAAAATTCCCAACATTCAAATGTTATGTGCATTTCTAGTTTTAAGGGAGGCGTTAGAGCTTTCTCCTTTCTAGCACTTACAGGTTCTCCAGGAGTCATTAAATTGTTTTGCCAAATAATTGCTGCAAAATTGCTAATAATTGCATTGATAACATTGTGGGTTATAATTAAAGAAGAACTGTTGATTGTGGGTTATTATAGTATCAGATATTTAGACAAATTAGTAAATCACATTACATTGGTACAATAGTAATCACTTTAAAATTGTCCAACAAAAAATGATTACTAGATGACATACGTATGTGTTTAAGGACACATGGAATAGAAGAACAAAAGCTACAGGATTTACAAAAACTAGGTGCTGTGTGTGTGTGTGTGTGTCTGTGTGTGTGTGTGTGTGTGCACACACGCATGTGCAAATGCACCTGCACAGGGAATTAAGCCTACAACCTCCACATTGAGCTACATGCCAAGCCCTCCCCACTGTATCTTCTCTGTCTCTGTCTCTGTCTCTCTCTGTCTCCCTTTCTTTCTTTTTTAGTTTGAGACAGGTGCTCTGTAAGTCATCAAGTTTCCCAGTCTGGCCTCACCAGGAACCTACGATGTTCCTGCCTCAGCCTCCGAGGGTGGCTGCAAATAAGTTTCCACCAAAACCTTAGTACTAGTAGTAGACTATTTTGCAAATGATTTATTTGAGTAACATTTTCATTTACTATTATTTTTTCTTTTGAATATTATTCAATGCATTTCAGTCTCTGGACTAGGTAATGTGGGCTAGAAATTACTCAAGAACCATCTTGCCTAAGGTCTTTCTGGAATTTTCTGTTTGAGTTAAATGGAAACATCCCTAACAGAAAATTTAACTCTTTGCTTCCATAATTTAGAGAAATTTGAGGAAAAGAAAAAAAAAAAAAGAATCCACAATAGGAGAAAATCACTTTTATGGAATCATGACTTTTATTTTTTAGTACTTCTGTTTTGTTTAAGCTAAAGATTCATGGGTTGTATTTCTCAATCAGATATATACTTTAAAATTTTTTTATTTAGATACTTTTATTGCTTGCTGATTAAGCATATCTCTGAATAGAAGTGTTTGAGTCAAAGTTTGGAAAATAAAGTAAGATCTGGAGCTTCTTTAGCAGAATAAAGATGTCATAGTATCTCCATCCCCTGGCCTAGGAGCCTGTGAAGACAGGAAAAGGGAGATGAGTGAGTGACAAACACTGTATGAGGACACAGGTGTGGATGCTGACTTCCTGAAAATCCTGGGCAAGGTGTTTCACCTTTCCGACTGTTGAATTTGATCAGGGTGTTTCATTCCTTTAAATTTTTAAAAAAATTTTAATTTAAAAAAATTTTCTTCTTTACTCTTTGCCCTTTTTTCTCTTTTTAAAAAACCCATGGGTCCTTTGAGACACTGCTTTTGAACAATTACTCACTTATCCTGTCACTTAACAAGTATTTATTGAGTACCAGCTATATGCTTAATATTGACTGAGGTATGGCATGTAAAACATGAGGAGACTGGAACAGATAATGATGTGTTTGAGACAGAATTGAGAAACAGGAAACTTACCCCTATATCTATGCTTTAAAACTGGGACTTCTACTACAGCACAGTTTGAAAGCCATTGAGACTTTCCTTGTCTTTCTAACGGTTTCCACAAACAAGGAAGAGTTTAGAATGATTAGACTTTGCTGGTGATAACTAGTGTACTTAGAATTGCAAGGCTCGGGCTCCTGATGTACACTATCACCCTACTACACTGACATTCACTTTTTCTTAGGTGGTACATTACTTTAAGAAGAAGTAGACAAACACATCTTTAAATTTAATGAGGTCCTTTTTAGGAGCTCAATTTCTCTTTGTATTGAGGTTCATTTTTATCTCATTAGGGAATACATTGATGCCTCAAGCTTCACTTTTATGTATACATCTATCCAAGGAATTCTTAATTATTTGTTTCAATTTTATTTAATAAACAATAAAGGTAAGTGAAATAAATTTTGGACACTCTAATATCTGAACAAGTTTAATAGTTTAATTAATAGGTTAATTTCTAATCTAAGCATTAATTGGGGACTCAATAAGAAAAATAGAAGAGGAGAAGCAGTTGTAATAGGATTTACATACAACACTTGTGTTACACAGCTTACATATATAACCACTTATCCTCACGGCCAGTCAAGGATAATTTCCTCTGGATTCCTTCTACCTGAATCCACCAGGTGTTTAACAGTACACCAGGTGTTTTCTTTCTGTTTCAAGAAAAAAAAAAATCTCTGAAATTATATGAAGTTTAAATGATTTAAGCCCTGGTTAGAAAACTTAGCTTGATATCTAATGGTTATCCTCAATTTATAGTTCCAAAATATTTCATTTCCCACACCTGCCTTCTAGAGCCATTTCAATCATGAAGAGCAGTGGGGGAGAAAAACGATAAACATTATGTGAGCTTGTAAGGTCTTGTAGTTTTGAGCCAAGTTGGAAAAGGAGAACAACTATTACTACAAGGCTGAGCCCTGCAGAGAGGCTGGACCTCTGCCCTGCCAATACCAAACTCTGCAACTTTATTCTCTTTGTGGTTTTTAGAAAGACTTGATCTTTCTAATATTACATTCTGAACGCCAACTTAATAGATTCACTATTTCTGGAGAGCTTTGGAGGCAGAATTATGGAAAATTCTTGTGGTTGTTGTTGTGTTTTTTGATGAAGGAGCAAGGCACAGAATAAATTTCACTGATTTGCATCAAGTTTGAATATGCATTGACAGTGACTCCTGAGCTGAATCTTCTTTATGGTATAGAGGAAGGGAAGCATTACTTCTAGCGGCTGGAAGAAAATCAGAGATTTAAAGTACTTTGGGCCTTTGCCAGTATGCTTGGCATGAATCAGGGTAAGTTGGTGCAGAGGTTCAGTGAGTGAAGTCTATACAGAGCTGCTGTTTGGAAGTTGAAGCAGATGGGTGTAGCCTGTGTGATGTGATCTGAGAAGCTACACGATGGCCTTGGAATCAGGTATCACTCTTTCAGTGTTTATCCTATATTGTAATCATTCCTCTAGGATAAAATCCTGTATGCTTCTCTTAGAATGAAAAATAAGTTATCTGGCGCATTATTAGTTACTGTTCCTTTAGCACTGTTCAGTTCATCAGACAAACCTGCAGAAAACAGGAGCCTGAACGTATTGTATACTCAGAGAGCAGTTTTGATTGAGAAAACAAGGGTGGATAAAACAGCAGTGACTGATATGCCTCCCAGACAGTCTATTGTCACCCTAATAAAAGCATATAGTATTTTATCTCAGAGGAATGACGACAGCATGATGAACACTGAGAAAGAGGTATCCAACGCCAAAAAGCATTGGGGGAGTCAATGCATTTCACATAGAGGTTGGGAGGAGTATAGAGCTATAGAGACTTAGGAGTTTCCCTTCCTCAAGAGTCCCCAGACCCAGACAGCAGCTACTTGTATTTGTCCGAAAAAATTTCTCCCTTATTTGCCTACCTAAGTATCTCTTTTGATACAGCCAATCAAATGATAAAAATAATTAAGATGTGATATATATTATTCCTTAAGACGAATGTAATTATTATGTATCACAAACATACACCAATAAATAAATAAACCATAATATATTTCAGAATGGCTATTGACATAGGTATTTGCTAGAGGACTATTCTTACAGATCATGTTCCTGTCAACCACAAGCTTTCTGTCCACCCAGAAAGGTTAGAGAGTTATCAGAAAGCCCTGAATATTGAATGTTAATTGGTAGAGAATATGTAAGCTTTGATTTCCCAGTATCCTATATATAAGCTTTATGGTTTTTATCAAAATTGTAATGAAAATAATTATCTGGATTTGATCTGTTTAATGTCTTGCCTTATCTTTCACCTTTCTTTTCAGATCCTTTTTTGCCTACCAGGATATTGCTGGGGGAGCGCTGTGACTGCAGAACCCCAGAGAAAGGAGTGGTTTCTGTCAGTTGTGAAAATTACTAACTCTAATCCTTGGGGAAGGCTTCCCAGAAGTGCTTCAAATTTGGCCGAGGGAGAATAAAAGACAGCTTTGGCTTCGCCTTGTCATTCTAAACCTCTGTCTACACCACAAAACTGTAATGACATATTTCTTTATCTGGGAATCCCCAACTGTTGTCAGAATCAGGAAGTAGTAGATGCCTCACACCCCAGTGTGGCTTGCACAGACTGCCAACACAATCTAATTTGACCTGTCCCTATGTGTGGCCAGATTAAATTCACCACAGAATCGTATCTGCTTTCCATGGGTTTTGCCTAATGGCAGTCTGGATTCACAGGCAGCCCCCAAATTTTAGTTGTTATTTTTGTTTAAATAAGGGATCTGATTATTCTGAAAAGGGATCCACAGGACATGATTCCTCTGAAATTCTGTGTTGTCCTCAGTGCAGTAGTTCTATTGTCTTTCATTCTTGCTGTCAGCTGTCCTAGGATTCAAAACAGCTCAGAAGAGAATATGGCAAACAAGTCTTCTTGTGGGATCATAACTACATACGCTTCATGAATGAGAAGAAATCTTTCAAGAGTAAACAGACTTTTTTAAAACCTTCTCTGCTGCTCCAGGTAGAGAAAGGCAGGCAGCTGGAAGAACTTTTCTTTACTGTTTTCAGTAACTTTCCCTTTTTCCCCTCCGTGAGAAGAGAATGAGCCATCTCTACCCAACTGTGCTGTGACTGGAGGACATTAAGATGCACAAATAGCGGTCTACCCTTTGAGTCTTTTTTTG